AGTTTTAAAAATACACCTGCCAGTAAAGTGAAAATGACCCATGTATCTCAAATAAGTGACTCACAATCTACTTGGATTGGACCATGCTGTAGCAGAACATTTCAGACTGGCCAGTGACTCACAGGGCATCCCTACAACATTTTTCGAGAAGCATGGGTTTCTAGGTTCCGTCTTCATGCTTATTGGAAGCTCCATAGATATTTGTGTCTTTGGCAGGAAGGAGGTACTCCATGTCTCTGAAGCCACAATACCCTCTTCCCTTTTATCCTAGCAGCAAGCCCTCTGGACCAGGGTCAAAGGGTCATTTAGAGGGGCTAAGATCTGACACAAGAGACATCATCTGGGTTGCCTGAGTTGTATGAGGTTTACTCTGCCTCTCTTCCCCTCCTGTTGTGGTTGAATCTGGTTCTCTGGGTTGCCCTCCAAACAGCACAATCCATAGGTTCTGTGTTGAATATAAACTTCAGAAACTTGATCCCAGCTGTGGTTTGCAAATAACTCTCAGCTGCATCCTGTCTCGACTATGGGAATTGGAGAAAACAGTGCATGAAGGAAACACTATCAGTTCATGAGGGAGAAAACAGAAGAATTAGTTTTAATACCTGGCATTCAGGATCTGAACGCAGCATCATCTTCCTGAGACATGCTGGACTGGCCAGCATTATCAGGAAGCATTGAAAACCCGGAGAAACTCATTCCACTCTCAGGAAAATGAGCCTCCTTCAATCCCTGACACCTTCCTAAATTTCTAAATTCTAAACCTTGCGTGGGGAATAAGGCACATACAGCCTGTGTTGAAAGCCAAGGTGGTGGGGTGTTTTGTTTTGTTTCTTTTCTTGAAATCACATGTCTTATATCAAAAGCAACACATCACTTGTACACATGGATCTCACAGAAACCCTAAAGGCAGCCCAGATTCCTCATGTGTGCAGTATGCATGCTACATGAAAGACACACAGATAGACTCTGTAACCATGGTGCTCAGGGAGCCCTTGCAGGCTTTGTGTGCATCGTGTGGTCCTTGACTGTCCACAGACCTGTGATCTCTCCAGGCACTGTGAGCAAAATGGGAAGGTACCTTTGGGAGAAATCTGAGATCCTGATTACCTGTCCTAGGGTTTCACACCTTGCTTTATATTGCTTAGGAGTCTGACAGCACTTCCATGGACCCCCACCCCCCGGCAATCGTTTTAAAGCAGTGCTCAATAAACACGCAGAAATAGATACTTACGTCTAGGATGGTTATGTTGTACTGCTACTGCCTGCTGCCTGTAGCCTTGTACAGGCCTGAGGTGGAGATGCTCTGAGTTACACTCTCAAGCCATCACTTCCTCCTGCTCTATGGTGGTTGCCTCAAGCCCTCCTGTCACCTGCCCCAGTACAGTCAGCTGTCTGTGGGCCCCAACCCCTTGCTCACTTAAGTGCAAGTCTCAATACAAATTAGCAGCAGCAGCCGTATGGGCAAAGTGAATGGCCAAACCTCTTCCCCCCCTGCCAGGGCTCCCGCCTCCCCTCCCTCTTGTTCTCCTCAAGCACTCTTCACAGGCGCCAGCTGCCTCATTAAAGAACAGCCTTTATGCTGGGCTTCACCTGGACAGGCGGTGGTCACCAAGCCCCATGGTTCTGCTGGCTGGCTGAGGCAAAGGATGAAAGCAAATCTGGCAGGCAAATCTGCAAGCCAGCCAGGTATGGCTTTCTCTTTTCTTACCCTGAACTAGAATAGAAGAGCGAGCTCTGCGAGGGCAAAGGTCTTGGATAGGTGTCAGGCCTTTATTCTAAGGAAGTTCCTTGGTAGACCTTGATGAAAACTGTCTGGGACCAAGAAAAGGGCCTCATTCCAAAGAAGGCCAGGAGAGGCAGCCAGGCAGGTCACCAGGGTACATCTGGAGGAAGGTTGGATGAGGCTAGGACTTCTGTGGGCTAGCGAGTGCCACTCACTGGTCAGCCAGGCACTGCCAGCGGCGGAGCCCAGGGGACCCCCAGCTCCTCTGTACCTGCTTGCTGGCCATGGCTAGGACACCCTGGTTGTCACTGGTTTCCATCAGGCAGGTTTGGTTTTATGTCTCATCTTTTCTTTTGTATTTATTTCTTTATTCTGGGGAGTGGGAGCAACCTTGCCACCCAAGGCCACTGTACACAGTTCCAAACCAGGAAGAGCCACTAGTTTGGGCACTTCTGAGGTTCTAATCTCTGCCTGGAAAGAAGCCAATTTTAAATGCAGAAATTCCAAGGCCCAGCGCCTATGAAAAAGAACATTTTAAAACCCTTCTCTCCGGTATTCATAAATAGGAGACTTTGAAGTAAGGACCTCCTCTTTTGCTACAACTGATCCTGGCTGGCTAGTTCTGGGCACCCTGCATGGAAAGTGTGTGTGCTGTCCACTCTCCCCACCCCCACCAGCCAATGAAAATTTCAGTATCTTGGTTTCAGGCCAACTTAATTCTCCAAACTTCTCTGGTATTTGGATGGTTTCTCATCTGACAAGAATAATCTGGGGAAGACAACCAGTGTGTGTGTGTGTGTGTGTGTGTGTGTGTGTGTGTGTGTGTAGTACATACACTAGCATGTAGGTGCATATCTGTGATGGAGGGTATGTATTTCTCTAACTATATGTGTGTGATAAGTGTGATAGCCTATGGATGTGTGCATGCATGCTTGCATATATGATATACATGTAGGTGGTAGAATATATATATATGTATATGACTGTGTGTTTTATGTGATAACTGCATGTATGTGCATGTTGTATGTATAACTGTATGAATTTGTGTGTGGAACACATGTTATGCATTTGTATTGTATGTGTAGGCATACAATAGACCATGAAAATGTATATAAGTGTGTGTGTGTACTGTGTGAAGTAGCATGTGTATGTTTGTGTGCATATGCACATGTGCATGTCTGTGAACATGTGTTTTTGTGGCTGAGTACATGCATATACATGTACATGTTAGCATTGTGTATATGATGCATGTGGTAAAGTGTGTAGAGCATAGTGAATTGTTTGTGTGTGTGTGTGCGCATATGTAGTAAAGTTAGAGTCTGAATGTTTTCATTATGTATGTGTGCTCTGTGTGTGTGTGAGAGAGAGAGAGAAAGAGAGAGAGAGAGAGAGAGAGAGAGAGAATGTAAGTATGCATGCGCACACACACTTTTCCTAGGGGACAGCAGTATGCTTCGGCCAGCTCGGCTTAGACACAGGCACCAGGGTCTGACTGGGGCTGCTTCATCTCAAGCCAAGTCCTTCAACAGCAGAAGCCAAAGGGCTGAGCGCTGGTGAAAAGCCCCGATGTGCTACTGCCTCTCCTCTGACTGCCATGGGGACATTAAACCTTCAACAATCTGGGACTCTGACGGCTGGGTCTTGGTTCCTTGCCTGGAAAAACAGTAGGCAAATAGTAAAACCTTAAATTCTAACATGTGTAAGTTATACATCTTATTTTCATTTTCAGCCCATGTTCTCCTCGGTAAGACATCAGGAAAAAATTACCGTCTGACTTCTAATATCTCAGTGGAGCATTTATCTCCCAGCCATGATAAGTGATCTGCAATATTTTTTTCCTTTCAGATTAAGAAACAAATTCATTTAATTTTCTTTATTGAATGTGCTCAGGCCTCCCCGCACTGCCTGACTCTCAGGAGCCCTGGACTCTTCTCCCTCCTCCTGGGCTGGTGACTGCTCTCCTTGCTGTGGGAATGGGTGACTCCCTAGTAGGCAGGGCCTGTTCCTTAAGGGCCCACTGCAGAATGACAGAGAACAGACTGACCAAGGGCAGCAGCCAGGAGGGGAATGTAGGGAGAGGTTAGCGTGCAGAGCTGGCAGACTGTAATCAAAACCTTAAAACCTTGTCTCATCCCCTTGGTCTGAAGGCCTGACTTGGCACTCTCAGGAGAACTGGCCATCTCCCAGGCTGCCAGGATGATGCTTGCTGCCTGGCACTACCTACCATACCAGCGTCCACTGCACCTTTAGGAGTCTGCTATGGTTCTGCTTCTTGGGAGGACTGAGTGAAAGCTGAGAAGGTTGGGATGGCAACTTCCCTGGCACGATGAGAGCTCCATGATGCTACACTGAATGCCACTGTAGAATATTCTGTGAGCACTTGCTTCATCAGCAGACCATTAGGGGGAGAGGGGTGTAAGCCTAGCTTTCTAGCCCATTGCTCAGTGCCAGATACTGTGACTATCAGATGCTAACTGTGCTGTGTTGTTTTAGTCCAAGATAGGTGATGTGCTTTCTTCCTTTTGCACGTCCATATTACTTCCTACGTAAACTTACTACTCAGAGCTGTAAAATGCTACAAGAGTCATAACAGATCATGATGAATTCCAGGTGCTACTCTTCTTCCTTGCAGCACCCAGTGCCTCTGTATGCAGTCTTTAATTGAAAAGTTTAACACTGGAGACCTGGGGCCTGCATCTATCTTTAATGGCTATGTGATTCTGCCAGTCAGCACATCTTTCCTTTTTGGTAACCATAAAAGAGATGTAATAATCCTTGCTCCACACATCTGGAAGGGTTATCAGGAAACTCAGATAAAGCAAACAACATATGAAAATGTATTAAAATTGTACATGTACAATAGAAATAGCTGGGCCAGCGAGTATTGACACCATCTCAAGAAATGGCAGAGACAAGGCAACAGGTCACACAGAGTATCTCATCCTGTAACCAAGGTAGACAACGTCTATAGGACGGTGGAGAAGACCTGTCTATGACAAGGACTAGGGTAAGTGTTGGTTACTGGCAATCAGGTTGAAACTGGACACTGCAGGCATGTTGGAAGGGCTGCAGGCCACTGAAACAGGCACACCCAGGAGGCACAGGGTGTTTATGACAGGATCAGGCTGGGCTCTGCATGGAAGATGGCACTAAGAGATTTTTGTCATTGTTGTCATTATCCCAGAGATGTCTAAGTGACTGACCAATCCCCCTGAGGCTGGACTGACATGTCCCAATAATGATGACTTCTTTTGACCTCTGTTTCCTCTCACTCCAGGGAGTCTCCAGTTGACTGCAGTGTCAGCAAATGTAACAAGCTGGTGGGCGGAGGCGAAGCCAACACCATGAACTATAATAGCTACATGGATGAGAAGAATGGTCCCCCTCCTCCCAACATGACCACCAATGAACGGAGAGTCATTGTGCCTGCAGGTACCTTGGGAGCTAACTGCCTGGTCAATGCCCATATTTCCATTATTCAGGGGCTATAGTGTAAGGTTGATCCATCTCTTGGAACATGAAAACCCAGCACCCTAGTCTTCAGTGGCAGATGCAAACCAGGGAAAGTTATGCATCTTTCCTTACTCCATAGCTATCATTCAAGGCAGGATTTCAAATGTCACTTGAACGCTGGCATACAGATTCCAGGAGCCCCACTGTCAAACATAGCACAAGGTAGATTTTCAGTGAGAAACCTGGTACCCCTAGGATGAATCTTGGGCAGAGGCAAGGCTACCTCACCCCGCCATTCCTTCTTGTAAGGAGTGCAGCTCCTGATGTCCACCCTTCCTTCAGGCATATACTTCCTGGCCTCTGCTAGGTTCCACCTTCCCAAAATTACAGCCAGCTCTTTCAGTTTCAAAATAGAAATAACTATATTTAACAAACGGAACGCCTCCACGTGTGTGCCACAAGTTATGTCATTATGTAGAAATAGCCTCTTTTTTCCTAGGTATTGGTGCTGTTGGTTACAGGAGGGGGAAAAACCCTATTGTTAGATCCTGTAGTCTATTGGCTGGATCCTGTCTGAGCCAACATGGAGGGAATTCGAAAACTGCCACTTTAGAGTGGGTGCCAGGTGGAGGGGCAGAATGTCCAGAGTTTGAGCAAAGTGAATTACAGGGCAGGGGCTAAAACTAATCTTAACCAAAATAACTTCACCAGAGAAGCTGGATCCTTCCATTTGTAAATGTGTAAATGTAGTTGTGTCTTAGAACGATCAGATGTCTCTGAGAGGGTTTGAAGGGATTTGTCTTGTTGATCTGAAGGATGATTTTGTGACGGGCAGGTCCATCCTCTGTCTTTGGTGTTTGTTTCCATGGGAAGTTCAAGTGTGACAGCCACATTTCTGAGCTCTGGGCTACATTCCACATGGGAGAGGGTGTAGAAGATACCAGAAATAAAAGCAGATGAGGAAGGGCTTGTGGGTATTGTTCTGCAGCACATAGGACTAAAAACTGCCTGGGCTCCATCTTCTTCAAGCATAAGGGGTGATTGCAAGGAAGAACTCACTTGGTTTATTTGTATGTTTGCTTGTTTGGGTTGTTTGAGACAGAAATTCACAGTGTAGCACATGTTGTCCTAGAATTCACTGTATGAGGCAGGCAGGACCTTGTGGCAATCCTCCTGCCTCTGTCTAACTGAGTTCTGGAACTAACTACAGGTGTGTACCACCCAGTCCTAGACAGAAGTTCTTTATTCAGGCAGATTTCACAAGAGTCAAGTATAATGTCAATCGTCTAATTGGTTGTCACCACCCTCAGGAGATCCGCTGGTGATAGTTAGCCCAGGTGGGTCTTCTCTACTTTGAGCCCATAAAATTCTATTGAAACAGACATGGTGAGAGACTTTCTCCACCCCACAAGGCCAGGCAAGGCCTTTGCCGTCAAAATCACCTGTTCCAGTCTGAGAAGGAACTCTTGAGGGACGAACCAGTAGAGGATTGGAGATTACCTCAGAACCAGGCTATTGTCACCATCTTGCTTTGGTCGACATAAGGCAGGGCATACAGAAAGAAGGAAGAGGCGGCTAGACCGCTTGGTTGACTCTCTACCCTTCAGATGGTGTTAAAATGTTCTCGTGGGGATTGGCAAAAGGTGGCTCTTCGGTGAACTGACTTAACTTACAGCAGTAAAAAAGTGAAGATGGCATATGCTCTTACTATAAAGCATTTGGCATAATGAACTCATGAGCTACAGATCTGCTCTGTTATTCTCCTACTGGCTAGATTTGTGTGCCTTAGACACTCTGGCTTCCTCCAGGTCAGCCTCCTGGATGCAAAGGAAAGTCTCATTTGGGCAAGTCCACAAATCAAGGCAATAAAACATTAGTGGAACAGCCGATTGAATTTATGATGGGATTTTTAAGACAAGTATAAATGAGGGCTCTAGTTAATCACCATTTCCACATTGAGATGGGAAAGAACAAGGGCTGAATCGTCCAGGAAATACATTTGGAAGAGTTTAGCATGATCCAGAGTGGAAGATTTATAATTCGTTTTACTGGAGAGGGAGAGAATTAACATTGTGACAGAGCCCAAAGCAAAGAGCGGAAATAATAAAATAAATAAAATATAAGGCATAAAATTGAATGTACGGTCTTAGATTCAAGTAAGTTCCTACAAGTAAGGAGCTAGGAGAAGCTATGGGTGAAATAATACAGCACATAATCCAAGTCCCTCTGGGACAACTCCTTTTGAATTTTGAGATTTCCATTTATGTATAACCCTTGCTTGATGGTTTCTGAAAAGTAGAGGGTTGGAAACAAACCCAGGAGTTTATCTGACAGACACAAATCCACACATGAACAAGAGGGCTGGGGTGGAGGACTTCTGGGTCCTGGAACAAGACTTTGCAGTTCCAAATGAGTTAAGGCAGGATCCTGACAAGACAAAGCTGAGAGGGTCTCAGAGGACTTGCTTGTCCAACTGTGGGACATCTTTGAAGGCTTCTGTAGGAACCCTAGCAGTAGTCACTAAGGTAAAACTTCCATGATTCCCTGTCCATCTATAAAATGGGTATAACAAAACCCATTTCATAGATTCCTTTGAGAGAAAAAAATGGGACAGATAGAGAGCTGGCTTGTGTTAGCATCTCACAGATGGGCTATCACTCGGTAGGTACATATTGTAGTCTTAGTATGACATGCAGAAGCTGTGAAGTCTGAAAGCTTTATTCTGTGCTCCCTCTCAACCTCTCAGAAAGGGTTTCTTTTACAATCCCTAGAGATCACAGCACCTAGATTCCTCCCCACTGCCATTGCTGGCTATTTAGAACTGGCTCCCTGTAGCCTAGAGCTTTTGTAGCCTCTAGAATGAGAGGAATGTGAGTTGGTTTAAAAGGAGCACAAGTTTTCCTGCTAAATAAGCATGCTAAATGAAACAACCAAGCAGAAAAGCAGAAGTGGAAGCCACCAGCTGCCCTGCAATAAAATACTATCCCTTCTCCAGGAAGCCTTCCAGGACTCTCCAAATTCATCCCAGACCCTTCAACCCAAGGTTCACTGAACTACCAGCACGGCCCATTACTTACATAATTGCTCTGACTCTTACACGTTCATGCTGATGTGTGTGTGTGTGTGTGTGTGTGTGTGTGTGTGTGTGTGTTGGGGAGGAAAGAGAGAGAGAGAGACAGAGAGAGAGAGAGAGACAGAGAGAGAGAGAGAGAGAGAGAGAGAGAGAGAGAGAGAGAGAGAGGAGAGATCCAAATCTGTAGCACAGATTCCTCAAATGCACAATCCTCCTGCCTCAGCTTCCTGAGTCCTGGGATTACTTGAACGTATCAGCATGCCTATGAGAGTTTGTCATTTATAACATCTCCCACCTTAGACTGAGAAGGTTGAGAAGATGCTTCAGGAAACAATGAGACAGAGAGGACTGAGTCCAAGCAGAGGCCTCAGTCCTGCGCTGTTTCCGTTCGTTCAGTTTTTGTTTCTAGTGCCATTTCTCATCTTTAAGTATTTAAATATCCTAAAAATGTTTAGGGGTGGTCTGGTAGAAATCTTAACACAGCTGTCCCCCAACTCTGAAAGGAGGAAACCCAGACTGGGTTTATGTCAAACACTAACACCATTGGGTTTTCCAGCTGCCCAGACGGAATCACAGGAAAAGCATGCTTGTGTACATTTCCCTTCTGTAGCATCGGAGGGATAAGTGTGACCTCCTGCATTCATTGCTTGTCTTAAGTTGTAAATGGGTCCCCTTCCCAGAGGCATTGGTCACTGGGACTGTTGGATTATTTTTATTTTGATGCCACTGTTTCTTGGGCCAAGCTTTCAATTGCTCTCCAAAAACTTTAAATGCCATCCTGTTGGGGTATGTGTTGAGGCAGCTAGGAACCTTCTCAGCTCTAAGTGGTTCCGGCAGTGCCAAAAGCCATGGAACCAGACGGAATATTCTGAGGGGACCATCTGGAAGGGAAGAGAAAGAAGGTAGAGAGAAAAGAGAGAGGAGGGAAGAGAGGGGTATAAGAGGGAAAGATGGGGGAGTTAAAGATACCATGAATGAAGAAAAAGAAAAAAAAGAAGAGGAAAAGGGAGAAAAAGGAAGAAAGGGAAGATAGCAAACAAGAAAGAGGAAAAGAAAAGAGGGGGCCACGAGGAGAGAGAGGACATGGGAGAGGCAAATGGGAAGGGATAGAAAAAGAGAGGGTGAGGGGGAGCCTAGGCCACTGGGCAGGTGTGCATGCTCACAGTTCTCATCTTTCCTATGCAGACCCCACACTGTGGACACAGGAGCACGTTCGACAGTGGCTGGACTGGGCCATAAAGGAGTACGGCTTGATGGAGATTGACACTTCCTTCTTCCAGAACATGGATGGCAAGGAATTGTGTAAAATGAGCAAGGAGGACTTCCTCCGAGCCACCTCCCTCTACAACACAGAAGTGCTGTTGTCGCACCTCAGTTACCTCAGGGAAAGTAAGTACCATGTACCTCCACCCCAGGGGCTTAGGGGTGGATCCTGCCAGGTCTCCAAGAGCCAGTTCAGGGGAAGGAGGTGGATACCCTAATACCAGTCACGGGACACCTATGCCAAGGAACAGTTTCCTCATGACAGGAACCTTGTCAAGGTCACATGGGTCACCAAGCCTGTAAGGGAAAGACCCCATCCAGGAGTGTCCAAAGGAAGCAAAACAAAAATGGAAAACTTATGGAGATCTGGGACATGGGGCGGATGACACCAGATACTAGGTAGACTCTGGGCAGTTCTCTTTTCGAGAAGCTTCTGCTAACCAAAATTGCAGAGATAGAAGCTCTGGTTGGAGGTTTCCTCTGGGAATGCTTAGAATTCTTACAGAAAGTTTTGAACATAGATATGGAATCTAAGATTGTGGGACCTGGCCTATTATTCCTCCTATTCTGGGTTCATTCTGGTGCCACAACCCTAACCTACAAGGCTGCTTTTCCTCACTGCTACCAGAGTAGCTGGTGGCACAGGTTTGTTAGGAGACACTGAGAGCTTTCCCAGACAGAACTCCAGGGAAGGAAAGCTTGATAAAGAAAGAACTACACAATAGGAGGCTCCCTAGTACCAAGCACACACCAGTTCCATGTGAATTTTGATAGATATGGAAGGGAATACATTTGGACCTACTAGTGACTCAGCCTGAACTCTCCATCAGAAATCCATGCCGGGTGCTATACCTAAGCACTGAAAATGTGCTCAGTGGTCTGCAAAGATGAACTGAAGCCACAGGAAGGCAGGTGTGGGCTCCTTCTGCACAAGGGTATCCCTGTAGCCAGCTACATCAATGAGAGGCTGGGCAGAAGAAGATGCACTGTCCTCTATGAATGGTCTAGTTTGCCAGAGGTATTGTAAGAGTTAAGATTGAGAAGATTGATGGCCTTAAGGCCCCTTTGAATTCTGAGACCCTGGACAATACTGTGGGGCTGCTTTTTGTGGGTTCACAGGCTCTGGGCTGGTTCATCTTCTACAGGATCTCCATTGTTCATTCAATTGCTATCAGTAAAATACATGGTCTCAGTGTAAGGAAATTCTATAGAAAGCAAGGCAACACTCTACTCACATTGGCTAGAAAAATTAAAAATTTTAAAAATGCATTTGGAAGTTTCCATGGGTGCCTCTCAGCTGGCTATCTTGCCACCTCTCTAATGCAGCTGGTCATGCTGGGAGAGGATACATTAGCTCCAATGCAATGACCTCATGTCTGAGTTGCTGCACCATGAGGTCAGTCCAAGAAATAACACTCTAAGAAGGGGCCATTTTCTACCTAGTCTTCCCTGACTTTCAGATGCTTAGCATTTAATAATGATCTGTATTTCTCAGCCTTTAAATGCTTGGTGGAAGGAAAGAACAAAAAGATCTTTGAACCGAGTTCTGCCATGATCTACACAGGACAGGAGAGACAGTAGACACAGAGCATGAGTGTGAAAAGCAGAGGCCAGGAGCACAGCACAGTCAAGCCTGACTTCTAGGCTTCTCCAGCATTGTCTATGTAGGAGATTGAGTGAGTCCCAAGGAAAGAGAAATGTCAGGAGCCCCAGTGAGCTCTATACAAAGAATCTATACAAATTGGTTTTCATGGTAAATGCTTTGTGAGGAACATGTTCAAGAATGTTTGGACTTCATAAAAATGAAGCCCATTTAGGTCATGTGACCCCCAGGCTTGGATTTCTGACCAATCCATAAACAACCCAAGTCTCTATTTCTTCCTTCTGTCACCAAAGAATCTGAGCCACAAACACTGACATGGAGCATATATCTGCTTCTCAGAAGGTCTAGGAATACTGTTAATCAGTCAGTGCTTCCCATCAAGCCTTGGCAGTCCTGCTAGTGGGCAAGGGCAGATAACGGGGCACGGTGACTGTGTGAACAGCTATAGAAGGAGCAGGGAGCAGAGTTTCATGTTTGTGGGATAGCGAGAAAAACCATGGATTCTCTCCTTCTAAGAATACATATGCCGGGCAGTGGTGGCGCACGCCTTTAATCCCAGCACTTGGGAGGCAGAGGCAGGCGGATTTCTGAGTTCGAGGCCAGCCTGGTCTACAGAGTGAGTTCCAGGACAGCCAAGGCAATTCAGAGAAACCCTGTCTCAAAAACCTAAAAAAAAAAAAAAAAAGAAAAAATTAAAAAAAAATAAGAATACATGTAATCAATATGGAAAATATCATACAACACGAAAAGTTTCCAGAAAGGGGATTGCTATGAAGGAGTTTCCAGAGTTGAGAAGAGGTAGTACATGTGTATGTTTGGAAAGCCTTTGAATGGAAAAGATGCATTTCCACATCTAGAGGGTGGTGCTAAAAGTTGGAGTTCTACACAAGGAGAGCTTTCCTGCCACCAAAATGGTTATTGTGGTAAACATAAGTGTTGGATGTAGTTTTACTGTCTACCAGCCTTTGCTCTGGGAAGTCACCACACTACCAGCTCCTTCCCAGCTTCCCATGAATCTTCAGATAAAAGAGACAGACACACAGTTGTTCAATTTCAACTTGCCTTCTTGGCATAATTCCTGGGTGCTATTATCTCCTGCCTAGAAAATGCACCCTTGTCTATACTCTTAGCTCTGTACCTCCCACCTCCTCTGAACTACAGTGGCTAGTTCCATCTAGCTCTTGCCAAACATCCCTGACCAGCCACCTGTAGTAGTTAGCCACAGGCCCCAGTTCTTCCCAAGACCTCACATGGCTGCTCCATTCTTCTCCCTCTGAGGCATGGCAAAAACTCCTCCTCTCCTTCCTTTTGTCTTCCTTTTCTTCCAGAAACCCAAAAGTTCCACCTGTACCTTCTGTCTAGCAATTGGCCCATGGCTTCATTTACTGACAGATCAAGAACCAATTGGAGAATAGGACCTCAGCATCAGAACTACCCTTACACATAAGATGTGCTGGTGACACAAAGTTGAGTGAAAGACTATGTCTGTGGGCCAAAGCAAAAATGACATTGGTTGCATTAAATTTAAATCTTCTTGAAATGTAACAGAGATTGTAATAACTTTCTGAGGCAAATGGATTTAAAACGGTCTTCTCTCACTTTTGTTTTTTAAATTATGGTTTCTCCTTTGGGATGCTAGCCTCTAGGACCTTGTCAGCTCTGTGGTGGCTGAGAACTTTTTCTTCCTTGAAGACTGACATGGCTTCATGCCTTCTGTGTTTTTTTCAGACTGAATTACATGGGCTGTTTCATGTTGAAGAGGGAGGCCAGGGCTTGGCTGCAAGGTTGGGGTGAGAGGAACAAGTGCAGATTCTCAGCATTATCGTGTTGGACTTTTATTGGGGAACAGTTGGGTCCAAATAGAGGGAAAAGATCTGAGACTCTCAACATATATGTAGGACACAGAGTAGAGTAAAGGGTGGTCAGTACAGGAAAACTGGAGACTAAAGCCAAAGCATGGATTGTGGGAAGTCAAAGTGGGTCAGCAAGATGGCTCAATGGGAAAAGATACTTTCTGCTAAGCCTGACAATCAGATTTCAATCCTTGGGGCCCATATGATGGAAGGACAGAACCAACACCAATGAGATGGCCTCTGACTTCCATATATACATTAAAGCACACAAGTACTTACACACACACACACACACACACTGTAAAACTTGATAGCACTTCTCTAATCTCTTATTTCTGAGTTGTTTTCTAAAAAAAGATTCCTTGTAGGGTACTATATTCTGGCATCAAATTTACTTTCACTAGAGACAGTTGACTATTCTTGTTGTCTGGGAAGAAAGCTATACTTTAAATTTTCAAATATGTCTGGGTTGGGGAGCTTAATCATAAGGAAAAGAGGAATTGTCAATGATAAGGAAGAAGTAACAGTGTCCTGAACCCCTCTACACCTGATGGATTGATGAGCCCTACCTAGAGGTACTGGCTCTTCACATCTGGGCCTTTCAACTGTTCCAGATGGGATACCTGTTTAACATCAGGAGGAAGATGGAGGGACTGGGACTGACTAGAGTACTTGAAGTACTTGGAGTCCAGCTGAAATGTCTGAGGGAACAAGGCTCAGGTAGACATCACCCCGGGTGTCATTCACTTCCTATAGACAGAACATCCCCTTGTGGACACCATGGACAAAACTCTATAATTCCTGTTTCATGGCCAAAGCAACTGAGCCTGGCTAGCTTCAGGAGTCCATCCAAAGGTATCTGGCATATACAAAGCACCTGTCCTCACCTCTGATACTTGGACCCCTGAAGCTTTCAGTCTGAGCTAAGGTCACTGCTGCAGAGGACCTGTTAACTCTCGTGCAGGATGCTTAAATATGCCTGAATTAAGATGCTGACACAGGCAGACCACACCCCATTTGTCTCCCTTCTCATCTCCAGGGATAATTTCATCTCTGGCCTCCAACTTGAGGGCCAAACCAATGTCCCCACAAAGCTTTCCATTTGTATTGTACCATCAGATGCATGCTTTCCAAAACTCCGGGACTGAAGCCAATCAAACCAAACCCATTCTCTCATTTACCCTGACTTCCTTGCTTCCCCAAACTCTGGGTGTGATTTGATTGGCAGCTCTGCCAGGATCTTCCAGACACACCCACTGGACAGAGGCCCTGTTGGCAGCTGAGAATGTGGCAAGTGAGATCAGTCTCTTCTCAGGCAAAGACCAATGAGGCAGGACTGTCTGTCTCCAATGGTCAGTTCAGCCACAGGGCCACTGGGGGGAGTTTGAGGGATGTCTGGGAACCCTAAAGCTTGTGGGTTGAATGGTCTGAAGCAAAAGAAAGGGGGTTTTGTTGTTGCTTCTGTTCATTTTCAAAGGAAGTGACTAGAATGTCCATCTGGGTCTGACTTGGGAAACATACTAAGAACTCGCACTTTCAGACCGTGGCAGCCCCAGAGGATGAAATACATCAAATGACAGGGACACCACAGAAAAGGTATCCATCTTGATTTCCATTTTTAATTTAAACTTAATGGAAAACACATTTTGTATTCTGTGGTATTCCCACCTGCAACCTCAGATGGTCGGGCAAAGGTGATGGCCCTGTCATTAAGCCAAGGAAGTGTTAAACTTTCCATCTGGATCTGGCCAGGAAAAGAGTGCAGGGTTCCAATAAGATAAAGTGCCCAGTGGCCTCAGACTCAGTAGTCAGCTGGCCTGTTGTTTAGTGCATAGAGCCTTACTTCCCTCCCCAGTGTGCATTCAGGGCTGGTGCTGGCTGTAGCACAGAGAAAGTGAGCTAGGAATTGACCGGCTGGCTGGAATTGGGTTGGGGTAGATGCTACTGGGTTCTATGGTAATGTGTAAGGAGCCAGAGACAAAAACTCTGGCACTGGACCCCTTGTCTACACTGCAAAGCTGGTGTCCTGTCTGAAAAGCAAATTAGAGAGTCTGCAAAGCTCCATTCTATCTTCCCCTTTCAGATCCAGAAGCCCAGCTTAGGATGGACTCAAATCGGAAAATGTCTTTGCTGGCTGGGGATGTAACTCAGTTGGTAGAGAGCTTACCTAATATTCTGGACACTCTGGGTTTGATCCTGTACACCCTAGAAACTGAATGTGGTGGTGTGTGCCTGCAATATGTAGCATTTGGGAAGTAGAAGCAGGAGTATCAGACATTTATAATTATCCTGTGTGCTGTGTAATGACTCTTAAGCCAGCCTGGGTTATGTGATAATGTCTCAATAAAGAAAAAAGAAGAGGCGAGGAAGGAAAAGAAGAGGAAGAGGAAAGGAGAAGGGGGAAAAGAAAGAGAAGAGGAAATAAAAAGAGAAAACAAAGTAATCTTGTCTTCAAGCTCTTATCTTGGGAAGACAGGGTCACTGCCAGCTGCTACATTTTAGAGCAAAATGTGTCTTAAATCAACAGACACATGTATGTGCACATGAATGTATCCTGTCACTCGCACACACACCAATGACTTGGTGGACAGCACTTTAAGTGAAGGTATAACACACAAGGAGTTATGCAAATCATGATATGCGGCTAACCCCCAAGACACCTGCCCTTGCCTTCCACCACCATTGCTTTCTCTCCCTCCTTCTCCTTCCCTCCCTCCTTCTTTCTCCCTCCCTCCCTTCTTACTTCCCTTCTGTCTTTACTACCTTCCTTACTATTTGTTTGTTTGTTTACAATTTCTGAGACAACCTCACTATGAGTCTCAGCCTACCAGAACTTTCGGTGATCCTCTTGCCTTCATCTCTGGAGTGCTGGAATAAACATACATGTTCTTGCCCATCTTGACTGTATTGATTTAACCTAAGGGATGCTTCTGCTTCTGAACCAAGAACAGGTCCCCTAGAGCATCCAGTCTGTTGATCTTGTCTCTTGGCTGTGTGATCGTGAGCCTTGATTTCTCTAAAGGTTGATCTCAGCCGTGGGGGGAGGATAGCATACACATGCTTTGTGTGGCTCCTTCAAGGACTAAGTAGAGAGCTAGTATCCGGGAGGATGAGGTGATGGCTTAGTCAAGAAAGCACCAGGCCTAGTAGCATGAAGACCTGATTTGATCTCCAGAACCCATGTGAAGAATCCATTTGTGGCAGCATACATTTGTCCCAGTTGTCCCTGCTCTGTGGAAATGGAGTTGGAGTTGTTGGCCAGCCAGCCTCACCTATCAGCTGACTCAGGTCCCAGCGAGAGACTCTGTACCAAAAAAAAAAAAAAAAAAAAAAAAAAAAAAAAAAAAAAAGATGGACAGATCCTGAGCAAGGGCAGCTACTCCTGCGTATATAGGAGTATACACAGGTGTGTGTGTGTGTGTGTAAGCACAAATATAGCTCAAGAGTTCTGCCCTATCTAGCCATTGATTGTGGCATTTACTGTCAGGAAACTCCTCAGGACTCAGCAGCAGTAGAACTGCTTAGGTCAGATCCTCAGAGCAGGAAGAAGAAACTCAAAACCTCCAGGGGGAGATCAGACTCCAGGAAGGACTGGACAAGTTACCCTAATTAAAAAAAAAATACTCAAGGGGCACCCTCGGTAGCCTGAGGACCTAGTAAAATAAAAACCAGTGAAAAGAAAATGTGTTCCCCTGGGGAGAAGCCAGCCCCACTCCCATGGAGGCTACCCCTTCCTGTGAAACTTGAACTAAGACCGTCTTGGGGCAAAATCTCTCCCCTAGGTTACCATGAAATATGTATTTCATGCAGGCTTTGGGGAGGTCAAGTGACCCTTTCTCTTGGCATTCTGGGAGTTTCCTGTGGCTTCACGTGTGCCCAGAGAGGAACTCTGACCATGGGGGGAAATTTAATAAATGTGGTTTATCTGAGCCCCGTCTCTGTCTAACTTTGTACTAATGACTGGAGTTTTTTGCTGCTTGGAGACCATTATTTTTCTTTATTTGCTCTAGCAGTGAGGTTCTGCCTGAGGGAGAAAATGCCTGGGACTGAGGCACAGACATTCTTGCTCTTACCCCTGAGAGGTTTGGGATATTCTCTTGGAACGTTTGATTCCATTTCTGAAGCTCTGTCCAGTCACGGAGGATTATTTCTCATTGCGGCAGAACCAGTTCCCTAGCTGGAATTCCAGCCAGCCTGGCCAGTGCCCGCAAGCTCTGTGTGAAGGGTTTCCATTCTGTGTAACTGAAAGCAGTCATAATAAGTGCTAGCCTCTGCTGAACATTTAAAACAAGCCAGGGTCTGGGCAGCGCACCTTTTGAGCTTAGTTTTATTGAAGCCACATTCAATAGATGTAACTTTTCGCCCAGTATAGATGAGGAACACGTGACCAGGGGACCTATACCTAAATGAACTTGTTACTTTGAAGTATGATAGCTTAGACTAAAATCAATTTGTCACTTTGTCACTGATATTCTTGGAAGACTGAATGTTGCCTTGGGGGGCTGTGTCCCTTAGAACATGTAATCTACATATCTGCACTTTGGCATATAGCAGTCCCTAAATAGTACCCATCACCTCCTGGTTTTCACCTAGGAACTGCTGGAACTAGAAAAGATAGATACCTAAGCCAAAAGTCTTACGTCCCAGGAGATGTCTTTGGCTGTCCTGGTAAGACCCATATTTTCTCTGGATACTCAACCAGAGCACCCCTAGCTAAGGGGGACACCACTCTACTTCCAAGCCCCTCCTTGACTGGAGGCTAAGCAGAGGCATGACTGACAAGCCATTCCCAGCCTGGCCTTCAGTCAGTTCCCTTGGCCACATGCTCCAGGGAGAAGAGTTGTGTTTAGCAAGGCTTTGGTAGCCTCAAACACATGTGTTAAGCTCATGGTGTCCTTTGTAAAAGCAGATCCCAGCCCTAGCTTTGAAGGCTTTTAAAAAAAAAAATGTCCCCAGGAGAATCATGAGAAGAATCCTAAAAATGCTTCCAATTTACAAAATAAACTCTTGGGATCACTTTAAACAAAAGGACAGATCTAGTTTGAGGAAAGAAAGGAACATATGTTTTACATGCAATCGCAACAGAAAAACAATCATCCATTCCAAGTAGCTTCACTGGAGTCTGGTACAGGGACGTTTCCATCAAAGCTTCCATTTAGAAACCATACATCAGTGTGTTGAGATCTACTGTTCTAGACACTGAGACAAAGTGTCTGTTATATCTAAGTATCAACATTCCACAGCTGGGGTCCCACAATCCACAGCCTACTCTGACCCCAATTTACTAAAGTTTCCCCTACTTCTTAATTCTAACATACTGGGAACCCTGAACTTAACACACAGGCCTTTGGAGAACGTTCTAGATGCAGACTGAAGAAGCATGATGTTTCTATGTTTTTAATTTCATTTCAGGTTCACTGCTGGCCTATAATACAACCTCCCACACAGACCAGTCCTCACGACTGAATGTCAAAGAAGGTGAGTCTGTCCCCTCACGTGCCCAGGTTCCCTCCACTCTCACGGATGCACAGGTCCATACTTCTCAGACAGGTGGGAGATGTCATGTCTGACACCAGTTCCTTACCCGGAAAACTATTTTTCTAGTACACAAGATGAAAAAAAAATTTTTTTAAACCATGTTTTTCTTCCTTCCGCAACCAGTTTCCAAACTACAAGGGAGGCTTTGAAACATCTCATAAAGACATCACAAGAATATAAATTAAAGTCGCCCCCGCCCAAAGAAAGAGGACTGTCCTTAGAGAACAATGAATCAGCTGACTTCCCAAGCTGACACTTGGAGGCTCTCCTGGTGAAGATAATGGAATGTGTGTCTACTTTTTAAAGTTTTGTTTGGGGATTTTTTTTTTCTAAAAGAAAAATTAGCATTGTCAACTCGTGTTTAAAACGGTGGTCTGAGGATTTGGTCTAGGATAGATTGGCCTGGTCTGGTTCGGTTGGTTTAATCAAATGATTCATTTGATATTATTTGGTTTGATCAGCAAGAAAGAAAACTGCCTCCAAAAATGGTTTTAGTGAGCATCACAGTGCCGTTTCTCAGCCTCTTCATCAGCAAGGGCTGAAGTTCAAGCTTGCAGGTGGAATGCATGCATAGCATGCGGGAGGCCCTGGGTTTAATCCAGCAACACAGGCACTCTCACATAGATACACATACAGTCACACACACACACACACACA